TTTTTTTCAGTCAGTATTTAATACAACTGGCAAAATAAATTGTTAAAATAGTTATGATGTACTTCTGTTTTTTGATTCAGGAATTAAAAAAAAAATCATTTTATGGAAAAACCCTCTTGATTCAAGAGAAAACTCCAGTTTTTAAGAAAATGGCTGCTTATCAATTAATTATTAATCAATCTGTAAGATAAATCAACTTCTGATTAATTAATTAATCAATAACTTGCATCCCTAATTTATACAGGAATGAAATTATTTTTTATCTACTCATATTCATGTAATTAAGTATTTTAATGATTTGGCCGATTAATCAATTAATCGAAAAAATAATTGTCAAATTAATTGATTATTAAAATAATCATTAGTTGCAGCCCTACAAAGATGTGATCCTAAGGTCACCAAAACGGATCCCCTCAACACCTTGACTGCTTCTAGAGATTCTGTCCATAAACAGAGTCGGTGACAAAGGGCAACCTTGGGGAAGTCCAACTCTCACTGAAAACGAGTCTGATTTACTACCGGCAATGTGGACACTCTTGACACTGGTCATACAGGGACCTAACAGCCCATATCAATGGGCCTGGTACCCCATACTCCCGGAGTACCCCCCACAGGAGCCCCCAAGGGACACGCTTGAATGCCTTCTCCTAGTCCACAAAACACATGTAGACTGGTTGAGCGAACTCCCATGCACCCTCCAGGACCCTGCTGAGGGTGTTGAGCTGGTCCACTGTTCCACGACCAGGACGAGAACCACACTGCTCTTCCTGAATCCAAGATTCAACTATTCGACAGACCCTCTACTCCAGGACCCCTGAATAGACCTTACCAGGGAGGCTTAGACATGTGATCACCCTATAGTTGGAACTTACTCTGCGGTCCCCCTTTTTAAATAGTGGGGCTACCACCCCGGCCGGCCAATCCAGGGGAACTGCCCCCAATGTCCATGCAGTATTGTAGAGTCGTGTCATCCAACAAAACCCCAAAACATCCAGAGACTTAAGGAACTCTAGGCAAATTTCATCCACCCCTGGTGCCTTGTCACCGGGGAGCTTTTTAACTACCTTATTGACCTCAGCACCAGAAATTGGAGAGTCCGACCCAGGGTCCCCGGGCTCTGCTTCCTGATGGGAAGACTTGCTGGTGGGATTGAGGAGGTCCTCAAAGTATTCCGCCCAACGACCCACAACGTCTCGAGTTGAGGTCAGCGCATCATCCCCACCATAAACAGTGCTGGTGGCAAACCCCCCCCGAGATGCCAGATGGTGGACCAGAATTGCCTCGAAGCCGTATGCAAGTTGTTTTCCATGGCCTCTCTGAACTCCTCCCACGCCAGATTTTTTGCCTCAGTGACCACCCAAGCGGCATTGCGCTTGGACTGCCGGTACCCTTCTGCTGCTTCTGGAGTCCCACAGGCCAAAAAGGCCTAATAGGACTCCTTCTTCAGCCTGACGGCATCCCTCACCGCCGGTGTCCACCAGCGGGTTCGAGGGTTGCCGCCATGACAGGCACGACAACCTTACAACCACTGCTCAGGTTAGCCACATCGACAATGGAGGCACGGAACATGGCCCACTAAGACTCAATGTCCCCACCTCCCCAGAACATGTTCAAAGTTCTCCCGGAGGTGTGAGTTGAAGCACCGTCTGATGGGAGACTCTGCCAGATGTTCCCAGCAGACCCTCACTATACGTTTGGGTCTGCCAGGTCTGATCGGCATCCTCCCCCACCAACGGAGCCAACTCACCACCAGGTAGTGGTCAGTTAACAGCTCCACCCCTGTCTTCAACTTAATGTCAGGTTGGGGGGGGTTCCTTCCAACCACGCCTCTCCAGGTCTCACTGTCATTACCCACGTCAGCGTTGAAGTCCCGCAGCAGAACGAGGGAGTCCCCGTTAGGAGCGCACTCCAGCACCCCCCTCCAAGGACTCCAAAAAGGGTGGGCAATCTGAGCTGTTGCTACGCGGATAGGCACAAAAAACAGTCAGGACCCGTCCCCCCACTCGTAGGTGGAGGGAGGCTACCTTCTCATTCAACGGGGTGAACCCCAACTTACAGTCACCAAGATGGGGGGCAATAAGTATGCCCACTCCTGCTCGGCGCCTCTCAGCATGGGCAACTCCAGAGTGGAAGAGTGTCCAACCCCTCTGGAGGACACTGGTTCCAGAGCCAGAGCGGTGTGTTGAGGTGAGTCCGACTATATCTAGTCAGAACCTCTCAACCCCACACACCAGCTCAGGCTCCTTCCCCACCAGAGAGGTGACGTTCCACATCTCTAGAGCCAGCTTCTGCTGCCAAGGATAAGACCAACAAGGTCCCCGCCTTCGACCACTACCCAACACACAGTGCACCCGACCCATAAAGCACCTCCCACAGGTGGTGAGCACATGGGAAGAGTGACCCACGTCTCCTCTTCAGGCTGTGCTCGGTCGGGCTTCATGGGTGAAAGCCGGCCACCAGGCCCTCGCCAACGTGTCCCACCTCCAGGCCTGGCTCCATAGTGGAGTCCTGGTGACCTGCGACTAGGCGAGGGAACTCTAAGTCTGTTTGATATTCATCATAAAGGGTTTTTGGGCTGCACTTTGTCTGATCCCTCACCTAGGTGACTCTATTTGGTCTATCTGTTTGGTGACTCTATAAGGTGGCAGCCAGGGAGATAGGCTTGACATGTAATTTTTGCAAATATTTTTCGTATCATAAACCTTGTTTTTCTTGATTTTTTTTCATCAGGTTGTTTGTCTCCAAAGAAAAATTCTCCACATTGTTCAACAATGTTTAAGAAAAAGATTAAACTGGACTTGGAGGCCTTCTCCTGCTCAATCTGTCAGGATCTATTGAAGAATCCTGTGACGATTCCCTGTGGACACAGCTACTGTATGAGATGTATTAAAACGCGCTGGGATGAAGAGGATCAGAGGAGACTCTACACCTGTCTTCAGTGCAGCAAGGACTTCACACCGAGGCCAAATCTGGTGAAAAACATCATSTGTGCWMAGTTRKTGGAGGASCTGAAGAAGACTGGRCWGRARGATRCTCCRGCTGATCTGTGCTATGCTGGAGCTGAAGATGTGTCCTGTGACGTCTGCTCTGACAGGAAACTGAAAGCTGTCAAGTCCTGCCTGAACTGTTTGGCCTCTTATTGTGAAAAACACCTCCGACCTCACCATGAAGCTCCACCATTACAGAAACACCAGCTGGTGGAGCCCTCCAAGAAGCTCCAGGAGAACATCTGTCCTCGTCATGATGAGGTGATGAAGATCTTCTGTCGTACTGATCAGCAGTGTATCTGTTATCTCTGCTTAATTGATGAACATAAAGGACATGAAACTGTCTCAGCTGCAGCAGAAAGAGCTGAGAAGCAGAAGAATCTAGAACAGATCCGACAACAAATCCAACAGAGATTTCAGGAGCGAGAGAAAGATGTGAAGCTGCTCCAACAGGAGGTGGAGGCCATCAATGTCTCTGCAGATAAAACGGTCAAAGAAAACGACAAGATGTTCTTTGGGCTGATCAAGACCATCAAGGAAAAGAGGATGGAGGCCAAAAATCGAGTTTTAGGTCAGAAGAAATGTGAAGTGAGTCGAGTCAAAGAGCTTCAGGAGAAGCTGGAGCAGGAGATGACTGAGCTGAAGAGGAAAGACGGCCAGCTGGAGCAGCTCTCACACACAGAGGATCACAACCAGTTTCTCCACAACTACCCCTCAGTGTCAGCACTCAGTGAGTCTCCACACTCATCCAGCATCAAGACTCGTCCTCTCAGCTACTTTGAGGACGTGACGGCAGCTGTGGACCAGCTCAGAGTCAAGATACAGGACGTCCTGAGGGGGGGTGGATGGATGACTATTCAATTAACTAAAATTAAAGTGGAGGATTTACTGCCAGAATCAGAACCAAAGACCAGAGATGAGTTCCTACAATATTCACAAGAAATCACTCTGGATCCAAACACAGCTCACAGACAGCTGGTTTTATCTGAGGGGAACAGAAAAGCAACATTAATGAGACAACATCAGTCTTATCCTGAGCATCCAGACAGGTTCACTGTTTTCCAGCAGGTTCTGAGCAGAGAGAGTCTGAGTGAACGTTGTTACTGGGAGGCGGAGAGGAGCGGCAGAGCTGCTCATTTTGCAGTTTCATATAAATATCGCAGCAGAGACGGCAGTAATCTTAGTAAGTTTGGATTCAATGATCAGTCCTGGGCCTTACGTTGTCTCTCAAAAAGTTACACGTTTTGGCACAACAACACCTGTACTCTAGTCTCAGGTCCTGGTTCCTCCAGGATCGGAGTGTACCTGGACCACAGAGCAGGTATTCTGTCCTTCTACACCGTTTCTGACACCATGACCCTCCTCCACAGAGTCCAGACCACCTTCACTCAGCCGCTCCACGCTGGAGTTTGGCTCGTAGGCTGTGGAACGACTGTTGAGTTTGTTACAACTCAGAACAGTGGCTGAAGCTGGTTTGTTTTAGGTTTTGCTGTTTTCTGTATTGTTAGCTAAACCTTCGTATTGTACTCTGTTCTGTATTTTATATTAACTTTTTTGTGTTAAAGTTTTATTTGAGCCTCAGTAGTTTCCTTTACTCTTCTTGCATCTAGAAATGTACTTATAAACCTGTCTTAATGTGAGACCATCTTTCACTGGAACATGTGTATCATCTATTGTTTACCATGATGGCTTTTAAAATAAAAATAACATTCAGAGTAAAGTTTGATGTAACTGAAAAATGTGGCAACCCAGAAAGGGAAGGGTTGAATTGGTTTGTTATATTTTATAGTATTTTTCTTCTTTGATTATTAAGGTCAAAGTTTTATACCTGTGTTTTTTGGTTTGCCAGGATATCTGATAGTTTGATGTAAAGATCTGTGATTATAACCCCAGGAAGAATAATCTGTGCTGTGGCAGGGACTCACAGGAAGGCATTATATAGTATTATTAATTTTTAAAGGGGACCTAAAATGCAAAATTCACTTTTTTAAGGTTTTTTTACTCAACTTTGGGTATGTACTTATTAAAAAAACAGTACTAGGACCAAAAAAAATGCACCCAGGGGCATATTTCCTGTAAGTAAATGTATTTTTAATGTATATTAATGACAAGTTTTATACTTCCTACATTTTGTGATGTCACAAGCCGTACGACAACCCACCACATCCTGCGTTAAGCCCCTTACCTAGCAACCCCCGGGTGAGACTCCACCTCCTTAATATAAAAAGCCGTCATGGTGTTGTTGTGTGATGTGCAGCTCATTTCACAACAAGTGTCCAATAGGGCAATGGGTAGAGTGTTGGACCAAAGAGAGGAGAGGGAGACCAGGGTTCAAAACCGACACGGACACAAACCATTTAATTATTTATTTTCGTTCGTTATGAACACGGTCGAAAATAGAGGTGCACGTTCTCATGCACCTCTATTGTTTAGCTTATTAAAGCCTTGTTAAGCCTATTTGTTCGAGTTTCTGAGGTATTTTGACTGCTGCTGCTCCCTGCTCTGGTAACAGCATGCAGAGTGAGTGCAGAGCTCCGACACAGGAGGAGGGGGAGAAAAAAAAAAGCTGTGACCGACTCTGCCTCTGGGTCTCATTTGGTTGTACAACAGAGCTTCTGCTATTATTAGCCATGCTAACGTAAACGCTGGCTTTGGAGGGCGGAGTTAATGTCACCAGATTTTTGGAGGGCGTTACCAACAGAGCTCATTAACATAAACAGCTCTTCTGAACAGGTCAGAGCAGGCAGAACTAGGAAATGAGAAATTTTATTATCTGAGAATTATTTTGTGCATTAAATTGAATGAACATGGTCTGGATAGTCCACAGACATACCATAAACAATTCTAGGACCCATAATTGGTCTCCTTTAATATATATATATTATTGTTCGTGCCTGAGCTAATATATATATACTGTGTATATATATATATATATA